TTTTGGCCACTGCTTGCATTCAGCTACTGGTGAGTAGCATTAGTATTTAACTGTTTCATAGTAATCCCCACATAGTTTCTCAGAGTTGTGTTAGCAGCAGTAATAATGTTAAGCAGAGTAATAGTGGCACCACAAATTTGCAAGTCTGTACACTCATTACACACAAAAACACACATTTCAATGAAAAAAAAGAACCACTCATGAAATGGAAATGAATATTAATTGATTATTAGTGCAAGGTTTCACCCAGGTACATCATATATTGCTTTTCAATACAACATTATTTTGTAAAGCAGCAAGTATTTCAGAATTACTGTGCATTTTTGTTGCATGATTCATAGTATTACCTTGCTGTATAGGTTTATAGTTGTGTTCATTATTGATCTTCTCTTTCTTTTCTCAGGTGCGGGAGGGAAGAACAGTTTTGTAGGAAGAGCTGTTGGTGTGTGTAAAAAGTGGTGGCAGTATTTTTACATTCATGGGAAAAAGAGAGCGATCTGGCCACAGCTCAGGAACAGCTCGATCCCCCCAAACATCAGCTTGTCACTGAGTCACCGACCAGATGGGGCTCACACCAGAAGATGATAGCAAGAGTGCTGGAATAACAAAACACCATTGCTGAAGTCCTGGCTTCAGACAGAAAGACTCAACATCTGGGGCCTATTGCACAAAACTAGGATAAGGGATTAAGCCGGGATATCTTGGTTATCCTGGCTCAAATTAACCGTGATCCGGTTGCACAAAAGCGGGATAGTGGAAAGCGGGATATGTTATGACATAAGTTACCAAAGAGATTTATTCTGTGGAGCTAGCCTGCTCCAGACCAGGCTAAGTTCCAGGATCTATTTAATCTCATCCCTTATCTCAGTCAGCAGTCACCACAAATGGAAACCAATAGTTATTCCACTGCCCACTGCACATTGTTAGCACATTGAACCAGACCCACTGTCATTATTTAAACATTTGTGATCATTAATTGTAATCATTTTAGATAAATGATGATTTTAGATGATTTTGCAATCATTAGATAATTTACAGTTTCCCATAGACTATATATAAAATACACATCCCATATAAACATAAATACACATCAAAGAGTAACATGATGTTCCTTTATTGGATAAGGATAAATCAAAGCAAGTAAACCATCAGCTCCTTTCAAAACTGAAGTCACACAGTGACTCTACAAGATAGAAAGCACAGAATCAAAGCATATTATACAACACAAGAATAAATACACATTCAAAGGTCTGTATATGATACACCCCGCATGTCTGCACACTGAAATAAATGCAGGACAAATCCATACACAACAAATGAACAGACAAATGAATGGATGCAGTAGCCTCCCTGCAAGCTTGTATACACACAGTATACAGNTGGCAAACTCTCTGTTCACATACATTGGCCAAAAGAAACAACACAGATACTATGCACTCTAATGTCAGTAGTGATGTAGTTTTTAGGGAAGGGGTTATGTTAGGGATGGCTCCAGTGAGTCATCAAGCATGCTTTTAGGGCCACCCAAAAAATTCTGGACACAGATATGATGAAAAACAATTCAACAGTCTAACTTAACAGTTCAGCACTCTACAGTTCAGTCTTTTCAGGTTTTCAACCAGTATTTTCGAACATGAATAAAGTAAAGAAATCAGTGATTTTGTTTAACACAGACTTTAACAAACCCATTTCAGCCAGACAGTAATTCCTGCTTCATACAAAAAACAAATCCCAAATTATGTTAGTTTTCATTCCTTTGAAATAAAAAAAAAAAACAAGGACATTTCTCTGGCATTGACGCTTTTTTGGTGTATCGAAAACATACCAAATTGTGACACCACTGTATCATATCGAATCAAACTCCGTTGCACCCCAGTGTTTAAATTGTAACAAAAAGTACTGATGTCAAATCTAATTAAAAAAGATTGGTATCACCCATGTGTAGTGAGTGCTACTGAGCATATTGGAGGACACTTTTCAATTGTGTGAGTAAAACAGGGGGCAGGGGAAGAGTGCAGGCTGTATGGTGGTTGTGGTGGAGAGCATTATTTACGAATGACTGAATATTACTGTGGTATACAACCACAACAACTGTATCTTACCTGAAACTTGCGCAGCTCGTATTTGTAACTGGGTCCAACCTGCATGTTCACTTCAGAGTCCAGATCCACATGGTAACTTCCTCTCAGTGCCAGCCTCTCAGCAACTACATGCACACACACAAACACACACACACACACACAATTGCATACATATAATTAAACAGCAGAGGAGCATGAGGAACAAACATAAGATAAGGTAAGATAAGATAAGAGGAACTTTATTTATCCCAAAGGGAAATTCAATTAAGTCAGTGAGCTCATCTATTTATCAAAGAGTTATACAGTCTGATGGAGTTACATTTACACAATTTCACTCACATCTGCAGTCAATTTCACTTACAATTTCAACTGATTCATAATCAGAGTACAACTATGTTTTCGGAGATGTTAATTAACTATTTGGATTTTAATTGATGGTTTCAGCAGAGCAGTGAGTGTGTATTTGTGCACTACTTACGCATTCAGACGGTCTGCAATACTTTGCCACACTTTCTCTCGTTGTTTTATTACTGTGGCGGTGTTGCTTTTCTTTATGATTTGATCCTTTACCTCTTTGTAAGCCTCCAAGAGGATTTCTGCCTCCGACGGGGAAAAGTACGCCACTCTTGTTGCCATGGTGAATCGGTGAATCTGTGATCGATGGCGGGGTCTATTTGAGGAAGCCGTGTGCGCACACTGATCCAGGATTGGTTTCACCTGGCTTGATGAATCCGTGTCTGCTCATCCTGGCTTGGTCATTGTGCAACCAATTAAGCCTGAACGCTCTTGTTTTGGATTCGTTGAACCCAGCTCAGTCATTTATCCTGGATGTCTGAATCCTACTTTTGTGCAACGGGCCCCTGGTGCCAATGTGGCAAAACATTCATGTCATTTAGTCTATGGATGAAGCTCTGTGTTTTCTACCGGGATTCACAGATTCCCTTTCTGGAGTCACTGATGATCTGCTCGTTGCGTCTGTCCAAGATTCAAGGCTCTGTACATCAAACCAGACAAGGAAGAAGCCATTGAAACAATGGCATTGTCTGAAATGATGGATGATGACTACAGCCAATCCCAGACAGAGGCTTCATTTGGAACAGAGGGAGCAGGTGCAGAGGTGGTGGTGGTGGTGGTGGTGGTGCTGCTGCTGCTGCTGCACCACCTCTGCCACTGGTTATAAAGAAGCAAAGAAAATCTCTGGGTAGTTTCTTCAAAAAGCAAACCCTCAATGGAGATGCCTCGCCTCTCACCGAAAGGTAGAAAGTAGATAGCAAGCTGGGAAGCTACCTGATATGTCCTGATGCAGACAGGGAGTCTGAACCCCTGGAGTGGTGGAGGCTACATGAGTACAACTTCAAAAGAGAGAGCCAACTTGCAATGAAATATTTGTGCATCCAGACCACCAGCATTCCATCTGACAGTGCAGCGTTAAACCAGAGACGGTGAACGAACCTGTCTTCATTGCTCACAATTTGAAATGAAGCCGTGAATAATTGTGAAGTTCCCGAGAGTTATAACATGTTTGTGTACTGCTCTGAGAAGTCATTTTCTTTTAATGTTTTTAGTACTGTACATCTTGATGTTGGGCCACATGAAGTTAAATATAATTTCCTAAGTTACATTAGTTTACATTTGATTTAATTTTGTTTACTGAGTTTAAGAGGTTTTTATATTTGTCACATCATACAGATGTTAGGTTTATTTACCTCAGAGTTTACTCAGATTTTCTACATTTACAAAACACTGCAAACATTTAATTTACTAAGTTCAGAAATGTCTTTAATGTTTATCTAATGCATCTTATTGATGCAAGGTCACTCTACCTCAAAGTTGAATTTGATTTTGTAAGTAATGTTACAGTTTACGTCAGGGCTGCACAATTAATCAAATATTAATCACCATCGTGATTTTGGCTTGCTGCAATGAAATGAACATGATCAACTAAAATATTAACATTTGAAATGTGTGCTCCACTCATAAAATCCGCTGCATATCAAATCAAGTGCTTCCTAACATAACAGCAGCCTTCACTTTTGAAAAGCTGTTATGTCGCCCTGTCGTAGCAGCCCAAGAAAAAACTTTCCTCATTGCTCCAACCACAGATGGGCATTCCTGTTGGTGTTGGTGTCCTTGTCCAGCATCAACTTTATATACTTTTAGAAATTTATAGCAGTGATGCTGCAGCACGTCACAGTACCATGCCCGCTGTCAAAAAAGATATATGCAGTGGATACATATCCATGGAAGATGTCTTAAATTCAGCAGCAGAGGAACCTTATTTTAAGTCTTATTTTGATGCAAAGATTAATCTAGCACAATTGCTACATTAGAAAAACGCTTTTACATTGCAAACATTTTGTAACATTTTATTGACTGAGTGCAAGAAATTATTTAGTTATTGCATCTTACTAATGTTAGGTGAATTTATCTTCAACTCGATTTTGCTTTGCTTTTTCAACATGAGATCATTTTTAATCTTAATGTATGTTTATTTGTGTACATTTTTTCATTGTTAACATTAAAATGATAACCTGTGTGCTTGGATGATTAATGTGTTCAAAATAAAAAATAATAAAATAAAGTGGTTAAATTAAACCTTTTTTCATCCTGGTCATAATTAAGAAAAGGTCATTAAATTACCAATAATCATCAATATCGACCCATATCAAAAATGTTTATCATATCATTTTTGGCCACATCACCTAGGCCTGCTGTCATGTGTTAGGAATTCACCAGTTTACCTGCGCAATGTTCCAAACTGGTTTTTTCTTAGCATTTCACAACTCTCCCAGTCATCTGTTGCCCTGTCCCAATTTGTTTTTGGAATTGGAATTGTATTCTGATTATTAAATCAAGTAAAACACATATATGATTAGTTTGTAGTTTTCTAACCCTCTGTATGTCTTAATTTCCTCCCAGGTTTCAACCATCCACAGGTTGTTGACTGCTGACCCATTGCTGGTGAACTGCTGTGATGAGGACGGATACACACCACTGCATCGTGCAGCGTACAATGGCCACGTTGATGTGGTTTCCGCTTTGATCGCTGCCAGGTCTAAGGTTAACCCTCGGACCATTGAAGGCTGGACGCCCCTTCACAGTGCCTGCCGATGGAGCCGCGTTGCCGTGGCGAGTTTTCTCCTGCAACATGGAGCCGAACTGAACGCCCAGACCAACGGTGGGCTCACGCCACTACACCTGGCCGCTTCCAACACCACCCCCTTCAGAACAGACTCTCCTCACACGTTAGAGCTCCTCCTCTCTCAGCGACACCTGAAGCCGGAGCTCCGCAGCAGCAGCGGGGAGACGGCCAGTGAGGTGGCCCGACGTACTGGCCCACATCACGCCCTGTTTGAGATGGTAGAAGACTGTGTCAATGTGATACCCATCTCATGAATATAAAATCCCAGGTTCAGATGTTCTTACTCTCGTCTTGTCTTTGCCAGGAAAATGGACAGCAGGTATATGAAAATTAATGATGTTATACATACAAGACATGAACTTCCATCACATTAGTTGCCATACATTACTTGGACTTGTATTTATACCAAGCAGCAACCTCCAGTTGAGGCTGGCTCTAGAAGTTAGTCAATCCCTACAGAGACCCGTGTGAAAATACTCAACTTTACAGAAGAAATAAACATGTTTACATCCTGGTACAAAAGCAGTTTTGGTCCCATAGCTAATTTCCTTGTCCATGACAGCTGTACAGGGTTAGAATTTTTATACAACTCACCCTTTCCAATGTTAACTAGGCATAAAGTTAAGCATAATTACAGGTGTAGATGCTTTGAGTGACACATGGGTACCATCTGTTGAGAAGTCACCACACAGTAACAACATTTGTTAGATTATCCCACCTGGCATTGGATATCAGTAGTACCTGGGAAAGACTTACAATTTTGGTTGAAAATTGGGTTGGCAATATTTTAAATGTCTAACAATGGTAGGCTTTCACGTTGTATGGAAGATAACATCATGACGATTTGTAAACAGGTTTTGACATGATAGATGACACTGACATGAGACGTTTGGAAGACGTTGGATTTGGTGACTTAATAACAACTTCAAACCAACAAAATATCAAAACAAAGTATAACATCATCTATCGTTAGCATTCTACAAATTTTTCACCTAAAGTTACAGCCTAAACGAGACCAAGTGGTATATACAGTAACAATAACAAATAGTTCTCAATGAAGGCTCAGTCACGGAGGACGCTCAGCAACCTCCTCCCCCCGCTCGTCTTGCACCTGGCCCAGGCCCAGCTAGTTCCTGCGTGGCAAAAGAAGAGAGGTGGAGTGACTTGGCAGAGGAGCTGTGGATTATGATTATGATTATGATTATTCTGCACAGCATGCATGGGAATTAAATAGAATATATTTGAATGCATTTCTTACTTTTACCTTGATGGTGTGAATAAGTAACTAAATCTGTCGCTACGCTGTTCCCCAGTACAAATCCAAAGTTCATTGTTTCAAGGTTAGTCTGTCAAGGCGAGTATTCCCGCTCACTGAAAGTGTATGGGGTGGCATTGCTATCGTTTTCTGAATGTGGAACCTAATTTGTAAATGATCTCTTCACTGATGACCTAAGTTAATCTATGAATAACCTGTTTTTAGTCCAATGAGGCAAATGAACCAGAGGTTACTTGACATATGCAGCAGTTACACACAAGAAACCTTCTGAAGCACTTAAGACACATCTTAGCGGAGGCGAGTTTCTTTTGTCAAAGAGTGCTAATGCTGTTGGATTTATAAAAAGGAACTTTAAGTCAATGACATGTTTATATGTCATGTTTACAATATATATATATGTATATATATATATATATATATATATTTATTTACGTTTATGTTTGTTAATAATTCCTGTTTATTTAACTATATATTTGTTAATACTATTGTTTAAATTTCTTATATTTTCACGTATCTTTCCCCTCTTGCAAGGAGCACCTGTAACATAAATAATTTCCCTTCGGGGATCAATAAAGTATTTCTAATAAAGTATTTCTGATTCTGATTCTGATGACACACAGTTTAAATGCCACATTTTCTAAAGCACACAGAGTTGTGTTTTCGTTGAAGGAGTCCTTAAAGGACGACTTCGGTATTTTTCAACCTGGGCTCTATTTCCCCATGTGTATGTGTGCGTATGATTCATGGGTACCACTCGTTCTAAAATTGGTTCAGTATTGAGGGAAAAAACTCTGACTCTTTAGTGTAGGCTAACACACACACTTCATATACACATGCTCACTTACAGTACCCAGCGGGGCAGCCCTCCTCCTCTCTGCTCCAACACTGACTGACAGCTGACTCCACTCATACCACACTCACCACTGCCCCAGGGTCGCTACAGTATGCTATTTACAGAGATAGCACTGGCGATCTGAACCGGTCAGTGGCGAAAAAAAGCACTTTTAATGCGCAAACTTATACGGGACGCATTTGCCCCCGTTACCGTTTTAGCTCATTTCGCGGCTCCCGGCTGCATCCGCCTCCCTCAATACTGAACCAATTTTAGAACGAGTTGTACCCATGAATCGCACACATACACATGGGGAAATAGAGCCCAGGTTGAAAAATACCGAAGTTATCCTTTAAGGCTGACCTGAGGTTATTATAAACAGTAAGCAGCTGTGTAAAAGTAAAAGCCTTTAACACTGAAGTATGCTGGTGTGTGTGTGTGTGTTAAAACTGGTATAGTGAATGTTTTTAATGCATTCCTTGAACTTGAAATTGTATTTTCTCTTTTCATCAGTTGATTGCTTAGTTTAAAAAAAAATGTTGAAAATAGTGAGAAGTGCCACAGCCCAGAGTGACACTATCACAATGCTTGTTTCGTCCAACCAAGTGTACAGATACCAAAACTAATACAATTAAATTAAACATTTTCGCAAAATTAAACAGAAAATCAGCAAATCCTCACAAGCTGCATCATTAAATGTTTTTGTAGGTAAAATGACTATGATTGTCAAAATAGTTGCCAATTATTTTTTAATTGATTAACAAAATTTTTCAGCTGTACTTGTATAGACTGTTGGATGTTATATTTCGAGCAAAACATTTAGTAAGAAGTAGAAATTAACATTACAAGACTTGAGTAAAAATACTTGAAATTTGTACTTGAGTAAATATACTTAGTTACTTTCCACCACTGGCCTTTTATGACCTCCTGAAGATCTGCACTCCAAATTCACGGCAAGATCAGCTTGATCAGAAATGATGGTCACAAAAAATGGTCATCAAATAGAGTTGGTCTCTTCTTTTAAATATCTAGGGTTCTTAATTGATGACCACTTGTCTTCTCAAAAGCACATTCAGTATGTCGTTAAAAAGCTGAAGCTGTTATTGGGATTTCATAATAGAAATAAGACTTGTTTCTCTTTTAATGTAAAACGGAAACTGGTGCACTCTACATTTTTACCTGTAATTGATGGAGACATACTTTCTATGAATGCACCTGCTCATTCTCTTCACCTGTTGGACAGTGTATATCACGGGGCTCTGAGATTCATTACGAACTGTGCTTCTCTCACTCATCACTGTGGTCATCGTTATCTGCTCGTAGCCTCAGTCACTGGTATATCTTCATTTACAAAGCAATTTTGGGCAGACTTCTTTCCTAATTTAACTTCACCATTAACCTGGAAACAAGGAAGTCACAATCTCCACTTTTTTTAGGTTATCGGCTCCTGATGTTTGGAACAAGCTTCAGTGTGATCTACATTTACACACATTGATTCCTTTGACTTTAAAGAGAGAGGGAAAACTTTGGAGTCTAGGCTTTCGGTCTGTAAATGTTTTAGCTGATTGTATGAGTGTTTGTTTTGTGTTTGTAAATGTTTTTCTAATTACTGTCAACTGTAACTGTGTGACTGTATCGCTGCTGTCTTGGCCAGGTCTCCCTTGAAAAAGAGACCCCCCCATCTCAATGGGACTAACCTTGTTAAATAAAGGTTAAGTAAAAAAAAAAAACAACTCTATTTAGTTATATAATTTTGTGTTTTGAAGTCAGTGTGCAGGCGTTAACTCGAATAAACAGGTCACTGTGACATTTTTCACCTGAACACTAATTGACTGACTCACTAGTCTTTCCCTGAAGTAAGAAATATAGGCAGAGAAATATTCTGTTAATTCATGTATCCATACCAACAAGAAGGTGTCTGTATATGGACATGCACAAAGCTGACTTCAATACTCAGTCTTCCTCCAGCTTGAGTCAGTGTGTTTGTCAGGGTGACCTTGACATTTGATCAAAGTCAGGTTTACTGCTGAGTACATTTCACATGCAAGGAATTTACAGAGATGATGGCTGGTTCCATATGTTCAAGGACAACTTGGACTGATCCCTGATGGCATGACTATTGTTTTTCATGGACTCACAGGCACCTAGTCACCAGTCACTTATCACAAGTCCCTGTAGCCTACACATTAAAATATACCCAAAGCAAAGGCAAAGATCCTTTGGCACACTGTATCTTGAATGATTTTAACAAACTACTTCCCAAAATCATGGAGTTTGTGAGCAAATGTTAATTGTGGCACCTGTAAAATCCCAAAATGTTCCTTCAAGTAAACCCCAAGCCCGAAAGACTGAAGAATTAATGCAAGCCAGCACCGTCAACCAGCAAGCAATTCTAATAATAGTGATGGGAAGAACTTCAGAAAACAAAAGGCTTCTTAAGAAAAGGGAGAAACAAAGATCTATCCTCATAAAGGCAATGGTAAAACAGTATAGACAATCTTACCTGCAGGGGTCTCTGCCCTGGGGGGGAGCTTCACACATGCTGTTATCTTTCATTCAGTCAAAGCTACAGTTGGTAACTTATAAAAATATATTTTTTGTATTTACCGAATATTTACTGAAAGTGTCCTTATGTCCTGACAATAGTACATGAGACAGAACATCATGTGACAAAAATCATGTTCCTCTTCCTCCTTGTAGTGCCTCCAATGGCATTTTCTAGGATCCACTGCAGCTGGAGGAGAACAACCAATCAGAACCGAGGATTCTCCAATGCAACTGTTAATCACTGCTCTAAAGGCCCGAACATACTCGGGCGGAACGGACTCCGCGGAGGTCCGCGCGGACTCAAAGCAGACGTCTGCAAGCCCTGTGCACGTAAAGCTCAGATTTTACGACCGTGCGGACTCCGCTCTGCGCACCAGTGACTACTCAGCATGTATTTTTCACATCGCAGGGATCTTTCACGGACATTTTTACATTTTTTTTCTCCTACGTGTCTGCATTGGTCTTCATAGCTTAGCGCCACTAAAGGGTGTAAGCTTCTTGTGAAGATTGATGCACTGTTAATCTTGCAGTCAAGTATTTTATACCCATAATGCGTGGTTGTGACCATCACCCACCCTCCCTGGAGAGTAGCCTATCAGCCTTTATTGGAAAAACTTCCTAATATGAGTCAGAGAGGGCCGTGATACACCAAAGTGTGTCAAGGGGAAAGTAAGGAAACAAGCAAGGGGGAGGGGGCAGGTGCTTAAGTCCTGAGTTATATAGTGACAGTGCATGCGGAGAAGAAGGAGGAAAAACAAACAAACAAATAAACAAACAAAAAAAACAGAGGAGAAACAGGCAGTGTAGCTGATGTATTGTGGCCTTGAGGTGGTTGTGCTCCATGCAGATTATCAGAAATAAACATAT